GAGCCAAGTGAAGTAACCTCGCGGGTGAGGGAGAGTCGAGCGAGGGATCTCTTATCTTCATATTATCTATAGGCTACTAGCAGTATTTTCTTAGAAGAGTTAGGGTTTGAGGACGAAGAACAACAGTCGGTGTAGGAAATCCCTCGTCTCTGGTTACCATCTTGGAGCTGAGTGAGGGAGGGGGGCCTCGGATACTTAAGTGTTTCGTGGTCGGCGGAGGAGTCTTTCTGGTGAGATGGTCTCATAGTGCTTTTGTGAATGAAATTATTCCAATTCTTTCTCATGAAGCCAGAAAAGACTTGGAGCAGATTATTCCGATCAGATGAGTTTATGTTATTGTGTCATGTTGCTTTTATTAATTAGTTTTATTCTATGTGGAGTTGAAATGTTCCCTCGCTACTATGGTGAAAGATCTTGTGGTTCGACTGTTGGTGGATCATCCCCAGCCCAAGTTCCTTCATTGCTCACGACTTGTCATCTTTTTAGATGAAGGGCTTAAGGGGCTAACAGAAACCATGAACTTGTCAAATTAGAGCCTCTTTACTTGGCAGTATTTCATCTTGCAAAGATTGATACCACTAGGAAGATGTCTCCGAGAGATTTCATCGTAATTCATAGTTATGCGAGTTGGTTTGTAGCATGGTTTTCAATTTTGAAAAGAAAACAATTTCAGACGTCACCAAAATATGCAAAATTTTGAAGCAGATCTCAGATTACTTTGGGGTTGTGAGTTTCTCCAGTATTCACTAAATAAAATAAAAAAATAAGAGTACTTGTAATCTCTGGCTCAAAATTTCAGGGTTCCAAATATTTGAGACCCACCAAAATATGAAATTCCAACCCTGGTTTGTAGTTTGTTGGAGCTTGAACCCAAAGGCATTGTTGTACATGTAACAGTTGTGATTATGAATAAAGTTATGGATGTTTTGTAAAAAAAAATGTATTTTCTGTGTCCTCAGTTTGAGAGAGATGGAGGAGACAAGAATAGTAGTAGCAGGTGGATGGACCAAAAAATGGCATTCCTGCATCCGTCCGTCTTTCTTGGCTGCCTGCCTCACTGACTGCCTTCCTTCCTCAACAAACCACAATCTCTACCGGTTAATTAAGATCCTGGTAATTAATTACATGCACTCGTTAATTCCCACTCCTCTCCTCTCCTGTAATCGATCGATTCATTCAGTCGTCCTTGTTAATTTCATTCATTTCATTTTGATTATGCATCATGCGTGCGTTCCCCCGTAGGATTGGAGATCATTTCATTCATTCCTGATCATTCTTCTTCTGCTGTTATTGTCTTGATGATGCATGCAGATCCACCATGTTCATGTTGTGAGCTCATCGGGTGCGCCGGCGGTCGACCTGCGGTGGTGCCGGTGCCATGGACGAGGAGGAGATTGAGGGGGTGCCGGCCTTCTTCCACCGCCACCCTCTCCTCCTCTGCTTCCTCCTCTTCCTCGCCTTCACCTACGCCTTGGTCTACCCCGTCTTCGCCTTCATCCTCGCCGCCGCCCCCGTCCTCGTCCTCACCGCCCTCCTCCTCGGCCTCGTCCTCCTCCACAGCGTGCCCCAGGACCACGACCCACATGTCTACAACAAGATCAGCCACCGCCCACCTCAAGTCCAACCAAGCACCACAGGCGCCATCACCACACATCACCACCGACCCTCCCACGAATCCAGCGACTCCTCCTCCTCCGTCGACGAAAATGACCACCACCCACCCACCGTGTCCAACGCCACCTCGCACGCCTCCTTCCCCGACACCGCCGCCAACAGCGAATCAGAATCAACCGACTCTGACCACGAAGAAAGGCAGCACAACCACCAGCGCTCCGAGAAAAAGGACGCGGTGCGGGCCGTCGCGTGGACGGCTGATGACGCCAAGAGCATCGAGAACATCGGCTCGCTCGAGCTCGAGATGAACGCCACCGTCGAGAAGCTCATGTCCAGGCGCCGCGCCCGCGGCCACCAGCGACCTCTCCACCACCACCACCAGCAGCAGCACGTCATGGAGCTTGACGACCCGTCCAAGCTCAGCATCGCCACCAGGAAGAGGAACCCCTTCGACCTCGACGGGCCCTACGACGAAGACGACAACTTCCCCGACTCCGCACCCTCCATGCTCGGCCTACGCCCCTCGCGCAACCCCTTCTTCGATGATATGGACGACGATCTCCAGCACCAAGCACCACCGGAGCCGTCGTCCATCCCAGGGGCCCCGGCAGCGCAGAAGAATGCCATGCTGTTCCGACGGCATGAGAGCTTCACCGTGGGTGCGCCGTACGTGAGCGACTTCCGGCCATCCCGCTTCAGGCCCTACTTCGTCACCGAGAAGATGCAGGGCCAGCCGGTGACGGTTCCCGAGGCCAGCCGCGAGAGCAGCTCCTCGTCCACGTCTTCCTCCTCTGCGGGTGCCACTGCTTATGCCTATGCCTATGCCTATGCCTACGCCTCCGCCAACAAAGAAGAAGAGGCAGCAGCAGAACAAGAAGAAGCTTTGGCAGCAGTAGAAGCAGAAGCAGCAACAATGTTGGAGGAGGTGAAGCCTACCGTTGAGTACAGCAGCAGGTCTCATGAGGTGGCGGCGGTGGACGTGGAGCTCATCAGCGACTCTTCCGACGACGACATGACACTGCCTGGTGGTGGCCATGCCCATAAAGGGCAGCATGTACAGGCACAGCAGCAGCAGCAGGAGGAGGAGGAGGTGGCTGAGCAGGAGCAGCAAATGACGATGGAGCAGGAGCAGGAGCAGCGAATGAAGCAGGAGCAGCGAATGAAGCAGCAGTTGGCTGAGCAGGAGCAGCGGATGAAGCAGGCGGCTGAGCAAGAGCAGCAAATGAAAATGCAAATGCAGCAGCAGCAGCAGCAGCAGCTGGCGTTATCAGACGACGACGAGGGGGATTCGTTTGAGGTGGAGAGCATCACGAAACAAGTAGCAGCAGCGGCAGCGGGCAAAACCAAACAGCTTGAGACAGATCCTGCATACGACTATAGCCCGTCAAAGACGGAGAAGGCAGCATTTGCCCAGTTACCTCCTCCGGCGCCGCCAAATAAGCTGCAGACGATGCGGAGAGTGTTCTCAGAAGAAGACGCGGACGAGCCATGGGCAGCGCCGAGCGGACTGGAGGAGACAGCTGAGGATGAGGGCAGGGAGCAAGACCCTCCTCTTTCTGCTCCTGCTGCTGGTGCTGCCCCTCCTCTTTCTGCGGCCGCCAAGAAAGCTATCGGCAAGTCCACCAAGTACAAGCCGCCATCCAAGAAGGCAGTCTTAGGCTTCTTCCGCAAGTGACAACACATGCGTCTTGTCTTCTTCTCTTCTTCTCTGTAGTAGACAACACATGCATGCCTCCTATACTCGATCTCTCAGGACCTCAATGTAAAAAAAACCCAAGGAAGAAAGCAAATACGTACCTTTTACTGATTCTTGCCTGCAGGCTCTGTACATTATTATGTAGGAAGATATTCCTTACTTCATCATATCGTAACGAATCTTTATGCTTTGGCAATGCACCACCACGCGAATTATTCCATCCATATGTATGTACTCACTCAGATTCCTTGTCTGACCACCAAGCAACCGAGAAATGCCCACCGACGCTACTATATCCATGACACCTCGTTCCCCTATGCCTTGCCCATCTTTCCCTTCTGCATTCATCAAACACCCAGACGCCATGAATTCTGCCCTCACACTTGTCTCCTTCTACTGATTCTTGCCTGCAGAGGGAGTAGCAGGGATTCTCAAAATTTCCGTATAATATTAATACCGTGTTTCTATATTTCCATCCATCTCTTGGAGATTATATTTCTTTTAGATGTAATAACTAAATGTTTTCACCCATGGCACGCTGCAGGAAAGTTGATATCTTCAACGACTCACCTGTGAAACAAGGAAACCGGGCATTGGTAGGCATAATTTATTCTGCTGCTGCATCCAACTATATTTCTTAGTCTGACTACCTCTAGCTAATTCCAATCCCTGCAGGACATACTTCATTCCGTTGCCTATTCGTTTCGACAAAAACCCAGAATCAGCTGAAAGTATGTGCTTCATATATAAATTCAACTTTTTAGTACAGTAATAAACTAGAACCACTTAAAACCCAGCTAAGCATCGATGCACACATGCAGGAATTCTACAGGACGCAGCAGGGCTTGGGTCCTTTGTCAAGCTTTATGAACTCTGCGTGGAGCATATCGCACGTCTTTTCAGATTTGTGGCGGGTGGATTGATTACGGGACTCCTCATTTTGTATAGCATATGCAAGGAGTTGATGTAAGGAGGCAATACAATACAACAGGAAATCCCACATTTTCAGAAGAATAGCAGCAGTTCTCAAAGATACCCTGTAATGCTGGTTTATTTCATCCTATTCTTGCTCCTGCGAAACAAAGACGGGCGTCATTTCACTCTTAAAGAAAATGACTGACAGCATTTGTAGGGATGTATATATATTGTTGTAAGAAAGACAGGAAGTACTGAGCAATGCTACTATCACATTCTAACTAATATTACTATATTGTGCGTGCCTATGTGTTATTCCTTGGGTGTGTGTGGGATGGTGAATTCCTTGGTTAACTAACCATAAGCGGATACCATCATACCATATAACTCTGCATTGACTCGAAAAGAGTCGACAAGTCAGACTGGATGGGCATAGCCTCAACAGTGCATGCCGCCTCTGTACTGGCTCATTTGTGATTGCAGCAGCAGGAGCAGGATGCATTGGAACAATTACCTATGGCGCAACCAAGTAAGCTGGCGTCCATGTGGAAAGTATTCAAAGAAACAAGTTGGGAAGTCGAGCCACCCTCCAAGAAGGCAGTCTTAGCAGGCTTCTCCTTCTTCAGGGAAACTCAATGTAAAGCTTCAGGGAAACTCAATGTAAAGCATAGCAAAAGGAGCACCAAGGAACAAAGCAATACCTTTTCACAAATTGGCATGATTCTTACCTTGCCAGCCTCTGTATATTATAGTGGAAGTGATTCCTTACTTCATATGGTAACAAACAAATGTTTATGCTTTAACGGTGCACCACGGAAATTCCATTTGATGCCAGGAAGCTTCTTCCCCTATAGGCTATATATATATATATATATATATATATATATATACTCAGATTCATTCTCTAACCACCAAGCAACTGAAAATGCCCACCAGCTATACATGACTATATCACACCTCATTCCACTATGCCTTCACCTCTTTCTGCATGCAAACACCCAAACACCATGAACTCTGCCCTCACACATATCTCCTTCCACTCTCCCTCTTATTTCATCCTAAAACAGCGCCCGCAGTCCCGCCACCAGCAGATCAGCATCAAGTGGCGGAAGAGGCAACAATGTTCAGCAAAGCCCATACGAGCCATACCAGGGCCGAATGGAACCGGTGCTTACCGTGGAGGTAATAACTTACCATCTTCACCCCTGACAGATGTGATTCAGGAGTTCTACTCCTCCCTCAATGATAAGGACATCACACGACTCGAGAAGCTGATTTCCCTTGATTGCGTCATCGAGGACACTGCATACTACAAACCGCTGGACGTCAAGGTTTTCATCTGCTCCAATATCTCCAGTCCTCTGCATATTTTAACCATCAGGCTATTAATTTAAAGCCAGGTTCCCATACTTGGAATTCACAGAAACAACTTTGATGCATGCAGAATACCCATACCTACTTCACAAGGCTTATCAAAGTTATGGGGAAGAATGCCAAATTTGCTATCGATGAGGTTTGTCAAGGAGTAGAACCCACCGTCGCAGTAATGTGGCACCTTGGTAAGATCCTCCTGCACCATGGAATTGGAATTATAAGTGGAGGATAAGAAGGATAATTGTATCATCATGCTGCATGTTGCAGAGTGGCGCCGGGAGATGATCCCATTTGCCAAGGGCTGCAGTTTCTTCATGTGCTCAGCAAATGGAGCAGCCCTTCTTATTAGGTAGTAGATGAGATTAATAACTAATGTATGTCCTTTAATTTCTATATAATACAGTGTTTCAGTGTTTCCATCCATCCATGTCAGGCAAGCTGTTGGAAGTATAATGCTTTGGTGGTTTGGCCTCTAGATAGATATTTTTCTCTTAGAGGTAGGTAATGCTCCCCTTGACCTGACACAGAAATGTTTTCATTCACCCACCCTGCAGGAAAGTTCATATCTTCGACGAGTCACCCCTGAAACCAGGAAAGCTGGCATTGGTACGCGTACTAACCTAACCAGCTTCTTGTTTTTCCTGCTGCACCCAACTAAAATATTAGTTCCATTTAAAATCTTAATGAGATATTCCAATGCTTACAGGAAATACTTAATTTTGTGATCAACGTGTTCGACACATTCCCATATATAGCTAAAGGTATGCTCTTCATCAAATCAGCTGTGCAGTATAAACTAGTATTATGGTGTTAAAATCCAGCTAAGCATGGAATTACACGTGCAGGTTTCCTAAAGAATAAAGAAGCACTAGCTCGGTTCTTCGCAAGGTTTTATAAATTCTGCGGGCCTTTTATCGTCCCTCTTGTTGCATATTATACCGACGTCCCAATTCTTGCATATTATACCCGCTTCTGGTCATATGTGGCACAAGGATTCACTATGGTGCTCAACATGCTGTATAACATATTCAAGCGGTTCCTGTAATGAGGAACTAATATAACATTCAGAAGAAAAACAAATCTGGAAGAAGATAGCCTGTGTGGTTGCAATCAATTAAATTACCGGCAACATCACGGGTGAAGGATCAGCGAAGGACCGGACCTACAACAACCAGCTGCGGTATAGGCACTGTCAATGACTCAGAATATGCCACAAGATGTCGGTTTGTTTCCCAGAGGCTTCCTACTTTGCTCCTGTGAAACGGAAATGAACATCATTTCACTCTTAAAAGGAAATGGTCGTTAGCATAGGGATGCATGTATATAACCACAGGGTATTGTTGTAAGAAGAACTGACGAATACCATTGTTACATTCTTATACTGCGTACTAATTTCCAGCATCTAATAAAATGCCCCCAGGATATCCTGCTTACGGATTCTTGTGTAACAGCTGCAGTAGCATCTTATAATATTTGCCTATTTGTGTAGTTGTAGGTTTTTCTTTAAGACCCCACAGTACAGTCTGCACTTCACAGGAGAGTTTAAACACTTTCAAGTCTCGTGCTAAGCTTAACCCTGACAGCAATGTAAAGATATCTATTTCCGTGTGCTTTATCGAAAAATCTATTTCCGTCTGTAGCATTACATATTCCATTTGAAGCTTGAAATTGACTCCATGTTCCAGATTATTTTCCCTTTTTGTGGGAGTAGAATATCCAGGTAAAGAATGCTTCAGTCCAATGCAAGACAAAACAAATATCACTAGAGTTGGACATAATGCTTACCAGAACTCAAATCATTAACGACATTGTATGAGAGGCAGTCTTAGGCTTCTTCCGGAAGTGACAGACAACCAAACTTTCCCTTTCCCAAGACATACATACAGCCTTCTCTTTCTCTTTCTCTTTCTCTTTCTCTTTCTCTTTCTCTTTTTCTTCCTCCCTTCACAATCACAAGTCACTTATCTTCTTTTCTGTAGACAACCAAGGAACTCAATGTAAAGTAAATCAGAGCATAAAGAAAACCAAGGAACAAAGTTATCCCTTTTTACAGATTGGCATGACTCCATAAATTATGTAGGAAGACATTCCTTACTTCATATCGTAACAAATCTTTATGCTTTAGCAATGCACCACGCTAATTATTCCATCGCATTCCATGCCAGGAAGCCTCCCTGCTATACTCAGATTCATTCTCTAATAGCCAAGCAACCAAAAATGCCCAGCAACACTATATCACACCTCATTCCTCCATGCCTTCACATCTTTCTGCATTCAAACCCCCAACACCATGAACTCTGCCCTCAAGCTCGTCTCTTTCCACTATCATCCCTCTTTCAACCTAAAACAACGCCCACTGTCCCAACGCCAGCAGATAAGCGCCGAGTGGGGGAAGAGGCAACAATATTCGCCAAAGCCCATACGAGCGATACCAGTGCCAAATGCAACGGGGGGACTCAACAATGCTGACCGCGGAGGTAATACCTTACCATCTTCACCCATGACAAATGTGATTCAGGAGTTCTACTCTTCCCTCAATGACAAGGACATCGCGCGGCTCACGCAGCTGATTCACCCTGATTGCACCATGAAGCACACTTCATATTATAAACCACTGGACATCAAGGTTTTACCCGCACCTCATTTTCTCACATGCCCCAACAACTCATGGTTGAGTCCCCTGCATATTTGACCACTGGACAACAACTACTTTGCTGCCTGCAGAATACAATTACCTACTTCGCAAGGCTTATGGAAGCTATGAGAAAGAATGTCAAATTTGCCATTGATGAGGTCTGTCACGGAGTAGAACCCACTGTTGCTGCAGCAATGTGGCACCTTGGTAAGTTCCTGTAGCATGGAATTCAAACAAATAAGTGGCAGGCAACCTGGTAAGTGATAATGATATCATCTTTGTTGCAGAGTGGAACGGTAAGATCATACCATTTACCAAAGGCTGCAGTTTCTACACGTGTTCAGCAAAAGGAGAAGCGCTTCTTATTAGGTAGCTGAAATTGATACTCGCTCCATATTCTCTAATTTCTACACAACATCGTGCTTCCATCTTGGTATGCTCTTTCTAATGGCGCATATTCTCTAATTGACACCGCAGGAAAGTCCACATCTTCAACGAGTCACCTGTGAAACCAGTAAATCTGGCATTGGTACGCATACTATTACTAATAGCTTGTTTCTGCTGCTGCATCCAACTATATTGCCTCTAGCTAATTGCCTTCCATGGAACATTCCAATTCTTACAGGACATACTTCTATTTGTTACCTTTTTGTTCGACCTACTTCCAAAACAAGCTGAAGGTATGTATAAACTCTGTAGTAGTATAAACCATAGTACTAGTACTTAAAAATTAAAATCCAGCTAAGCATGAAAGTATATATACATGCAGATTTTCTACAGAATCCAGAAGCACTAGTCCAGTCCTTTGTGAAGTTTTACAAATTCCTCCTGGAGCCTGTTATCGTGTATCTTGTTGCATATTCTATCCGCTTCTGGTCATTTGTTGTGAAGCTCTACAAATTATACGTGGAGCCTATTATCGTGCATCTTCTAGCATATAATTTCCGCTTCTGGTCATTTGTCGCACGAAGATTGGATATGGTGCTCGACGTGTTGTATAACATATTCAAGCAGTTCATGTAAGGAAAAACTAATATCCCAGAAAATTCTACAATCAGAAGAATAGTGATTCTCACAGATATATACACCGTGTGGATGCAATCAATTACCGACAATATCATGAGTGAAGGATCCGAGAAGGGCTTCGGCAAATGTCGATGGATCAGAATCTTCCACGCGATGTTTATTTGTTTCCCGAGGCTTATCCTATCCTTGCCCCTGTGAAGCAGAAATGGACATCATTTCACCCTTATAAGAAAACTGCTGTTAGTGCACGGACGTATATATATATATATATATATATATATATATATATATATAACCACAGGATAGATATTGCTGTAACAAGTACTCGGAAATTCTGCCTATGTATTCTTCTGAAAAAGCTGCTGTGTCATTCTACAATCTATCTGTTCGCATAGTGTAGGTTTTACTTTAGAGGCTATTTATTTCTGCATGTAACGCAGGAGTAAAATATATATCCAGGCAAAGAGTGTCAATTCAATGCAAGACAGAAGCATCATAATTAAGAGTTTAGACCAAGCAAATCATTGACATTGTATGAGAGGGTGGTTTGCTTCGTTAATTGACTAATAAAGCAGACTGCAGTGAATCTAAGAGAGCTTGATTCAGAATGGGGTGGAACAATAATCTATTTCATAGAAGTTTCAATGCAGTGGAATTTCTATAGATCCTTCAAGAGCAAAAGGCCCCTGAAAGAATCTTGCATTCTTCTTCTCATCATCCCATGCTTGATGTGCAGACGTCGAAAGAAATGGCTCTTTTTCTGAGTGGAAAACTGGAAATCCATATAGGAAGAATCCGAGAACCTGGCATAGAGAAACAGATGATAGCGCGCATAGGTTAGGCATCACTCTTCATCCTGTGTTTCCATGGAGCACCACTGATGCCTGAAAGGATATTCTGAAATACTGTGACCGATGGGTATAACTCCAGTGCCTTCCTTGCAATATTTTCTGCGACAACCACATCATTATGGAGCTCGCAAAATGCTAACAGATTCTTGTACATGGCCACAGCTGGAGTACGTGTGGAGGAGCGCGGTCTTGAGCACCAGGTTGAGGTCGGCCCCCCAGCGGAGGAGCTGCGCGTGGAGCTGCCTCCCGTGGCAACAGAGGCGCCTGGAGGCGCAGAGAGCCAGCAGGTTGGCCAAGGTGTGCTCGGGCATGCGAGGGTAGAGCGCGAGGGCCTGTGCCCAGTCGCCGGCGCGGATGAAAGCCGACATCATGGCGGTGTAGGCGACGGCGTCCCTGCGCGGCATTTCGTCGAACAGCCTGGCGGCGGCCGGTAGGTCGGAGCGGGCGGCGGAGTAGAAGGCGAGCAGGGAGCAGGCGAGGACGGGGTTGGAGGCGGCGAGGCCCCGGCGGCACGCCTGCGCGTGTATCTGGTAGGCCAGGCGGGCGTCGCGGCAGAGTAGGCGAGCTCGTCGACCGCGGCGGCCGGGTGGGCGGCGAGGACGCGGCGGAAGACGGTGAGCGCGGCGGCGTGGCGGCCTGCGCGCGCGTGGTCGGCTACGGCCGCGGCTCTGGCATGCGGCCGGCGCGAGGTGGCGGCGGCGGTGGCGCGGCAGCCGCAGCAGCATTCTGTTCTAGCTGCCGCTCACTGGGCTAAAAATCCATTCTTGTGCCGAATAAAAATCCATTCTTTCCATTGATTTTTTCAAGACTCAAGATTGTGTGGATGTTTCTTCCAAATCCAATCCAATTCATTCATTCACTCACCCCTAATAAGATTCAAGATGAAGAGCAGTAGCTTTGGTTTCCATTTATGTTTGCAAATCCAAATGGACTGAAGCTGATTCATTCATTTTTATTCTTCTTCTTGGCTGCCGCTCACTCAGACTCAGCTACATTCATTTTTCTGAATCCATTCTTCAGATTATCCATTTTAAACATCGAGAGAGACTCAAGATGTTGATGCGATCCAAATTCATTCACTCACAGATTTTGAATTTATTCATTTTAGTGTTATCTACAGCTAGTAGTAGGTGCTTTGATAGATATGTATTTTTACTTCATTCTTGCAAATCCAAATGGATTCATTTTTACAGATTGATGAACAGATGCATTTTCTTTTAACTAGTAGTACTAGTAGTCCCTCCGTTCCAAAATACATACTTGCCGTGGTTGGTTTTAGTTCAAAGTTCAAACGGAGGGAGTAGATAATAACAAGAATGGCATTCTTAGATTGATTTGATTACAACTGAAGGACAGCCACTCTTATATTATATGTAATGTAATGTAATGTAGCAGTAACTATCACATGTTTCTTTTGTGCAGAAAATCAAATCAAATCAAATAAGACCCTCCTCCCTTGACTTCCTTCCTTCCTTCTAAGGAAGATCATCCTCCTCCTCCCCTTCCGATTCGTCCGCTACGACCACGAGCCGCAACGGACCGCCAAACAGTCTGCTCAGCAGCGTCTGGTTCAGCCCTCCTATCCCTCGCGCCGTGCCAGAATGCCAGATCCTCGACGCCAAGCCCTGCCACCTGCTGCGCCCATTGTCCCGTGACGACTCGCTGCGGGGAACGCCGCATGTACGGGGATCCAGATAGTAGTTCAGGACCAGGCCGTTCCCGCGAGGAACGACCCCGAGGTCTCGTGACAGTGCCTTCCCCACTATTTGGACATGAGATATGCTGGAAAGCAAGCAAGCACATACATACATACATGATTAGTAAGCACATGTGTGCAATTATTTATCTAGCTCCACACAGTCGCACGACAACAACTCACCATATGTAGTAGAGACCATCGATTGCCTGTTTCTGAACTCTCCCAAGAAGCTCAACCTTGACCACCCCACCAATACACAGAACCGGGTGTGGCAGCTTGAAGGATTGCAAGACATTTTCCTGGAATAATAATGTTACTGACTCAGCAGGTTTACATACATACCAGCACAAGGCGACTGCAAACATATAGACACATTATTAAACAAAAAAATCCAGGTAATAAACACTTTTAGAACACTGCTAGAGATAGGTCGATCAAATGCAATTTCTTCATGCTCAGGCTTTTAAGAATTGTTCATGCTCTATATAAGCTGTTTGATTTATTTCTACAAGAGAAGAGATCCTTATGTTGAGCGTGCAAAGGACGACATATAGGCCTGGGGATATCAATCAGATATATCTATTCAACTGAGCTGCAAAACCTATTTTCTAGAAGCAACTGACCTGCAGCATCGGGAATTCTGGAGATGTGTAGGTCCAGACATAGTTTCTGTCATCAATCAACTGGCCCTCATTTTCATCACAGACAAGTGCTTCAGGGCGTAGCGGTGACCTTGGATAGCCCATCTGGACCCGGATGCTCTTTGGCGAATATATGGGATCGCCATGCTGGAAAAACGCTGCAACGACGCATGGTGGGAAGTACTGTTATTATTTAACACACACACACACACACACACCTGAGGCCTTTTAACTTGTTTTGAACCAGCCATATATACAGAAAGAAGGGAGGATGCAGTGACAGCAGACCTTTGAATGGCTGCAGCTTGATCTCTTGGATGAGGCAGAGATCGGCCTGGAGGCGATATATGAGGCACTCGGCGGTGGCGGGGTCCCTCTGGCCACCGCTGGACCAGTAGGAGGGCCTGTTGGACTCGAGGCGGTCGACAGGCTCGAGGGTGTTCTCGATGGTCTCGTCGGGGAAGTTGTCGGTGCTGGAGGCGCCGATGCAGTGGATGATGCAGTCCCTGGGCTTGTAGGGCGTGAGGAGGCCGTGGCTGAGGTGCATGTACACCCTGTGGTCCCGATGGAGCTTGTCGTCAGCGCTCGTGGCGGTGTCCTGATCCCGGCGTGCCAGGGTTCTGGAGGTGGTGGTGGTGACGTCGACTTGGGTGAAGGTGGAGAGCTCCGGGCAGGCCCGCAGGCACTGCAGCTTGCTGAACTGGTTGTCGATAACTATAGACGTAACGGCAGAGCACAAGAAAGAAGTAATCTTTTATAAGAAGAAGACGAGAGAAAAAACAGAGCATAGCTTTTGATTAGCACATTCATTCATTCATTAGACTGATTTCATATCTGGATCGGAAATCAGTACTCGTGCTTGCTAAACTAAACAAAACAGGTAGGAGTAGAGCAGAATCTATCTATAAATTCGGAGTAGATATGTAGATAAATGCTCCGGACATGGATGAATCGAATAGGGAGGCCAGATCCAGAGAGAGAGATACCGAATTGTCGCCAGGATCGGGAGACGGCGGATGCGCGTGCGAGGTCGGCGGGGTGGTGGAGCATGGTGAAGACGGTGACGGAGGTGTCGGGGCCCAGGTAGTCGACGAAATCCGCCGCCGGCGCCGGCGAGGAGGAGGAGGAGCATGGGGAGGAATCCTCCATGTCCATGGCTCTGGTCGTCCGTCCGCTAGTCTGGTGGGATAGGGGATGAAATTCGCCGAGCCGACTACCTCTTATGCAACCAATCAATCAATCAACTCATCTCATCTCATCTCATCTCATCTGAGGGACAAGACAAGAGAAGCGCGTGACCGACAAAGAGAAGAAGAAGAAGAAGAAGAAGAAGAGAGAAGAGAGATTGGATTGGATTGGATTGGGGGAGGGGAACCCGCTTTGGGCTGGGTTGGGATGGGACCCGTAGGTAGGGGAGGAGGGGATGACAGAGTACCAAGAAAAAGAAAAGAAAAAAGAGAAAGGGTAAATTCCCTCCTACCCAATTCACTTCCAATTCGAGCTTGTCGTCCGGTCGTCGCCACCGTCCGCACCAAGGCGACATACTACAAGTTGTTCACCCTGGAGCATCGGGCGGAAATGCAAACCACGGAGGAGCGCCACGCACTGCGGCTAGCCTGCCTCCGGAGTAGGAAGGTTCGAGCGAGGAGGAGTTGGAAGAGATGGGCCAAGAGGAGATTGAAGATACGGGGCAAGAAGAGGAGGAGCCACAATCGGATGAGGAGGAGGAGGATGCTCATGCCAAGTTCAGCATGGAGGTCACGCTAGTAGAGTTTGAGCTCACCTAAACGGAGGACGCAGAGCGGGCAGGACATCAACGAGTCTACCTGGTCTGAGGCGGAGGTGGCGGAAAACCGCCGCTTCATCGACCTGGAGGGGGGGACATGGTGCGTGAGTAGCTCTTCGCGGACAAGGAGGAGGCGCAGTCATTTCACCCGGCATGACCACGAGGCCGGTGACTCCAACAAGGAGGTTCGCCGTATCCGATGACGAGTAGTTTAGTTTTTTAGTCTGAGGTGAGGGCGAGGTGATGGTGTCTTCAATTAGGGGTCACTCACCATGCCGTCTCTCGGTCAAGGTGGGTCGGCCGAGGACCTCCTTGACGGTTCAGTAAGGGGCCATCTCAAGGACGCCCATGCTGCATAGAAGCATGTTTCTCGAGACTTGCGCATACTCCAAGGCTTAAAGATCGTTGCTTGCTCCCGCATGAGTGGTTGGGATTCCCAGGTGTAATGGTGATGTAGCCTAGAAGCAAGTACTTTCCTCAATTAGAGAACCAAGGTTATCAATTCAGTACGAGTTTCTCCCAACGAAGAAAGTTAGCAGTAAACACGCACGCATCACAAACACGCTTGTCCCCAACACGACAAGAGGATTATCAATCCCCTTGTCTTGCTAGTTACAAGATTAAACACAAATAATATAGATAATTGGTAACAAAAATAAAATAGGGCAACAAGGTAAATTATTGTTTTTAGTAAATGAGAATATACGCAGGGAGTATAACTTCATTAGTGACATCTCTCTTAACTACAAAGTTGCAATGAGTGTTTGATAGTTTGTTTAAAAGCAAGAGTGATTGGAAAAAGTTAAATAGTAATAAAGATTTCTGAATTGTCTTTGCTTTGGTGTTCTTGGTCTCCCCACAACGCCTCATCTGATTCGCCGATGCAATCAAAGCTATATCTAAAACTCGGTCTTACTTTTATTTATAACAAACATTTTAGCTTATTTATGATTTATTTCGGCAATATATGATTTTAGTTAACATTTTTTCTTATACTTAGCACAATCTGCAACATATTGATTTTGATAAAATCTACAATACAATGTTATTTGTCATAAATGTTGTCATGTATTTGCTAATACGTTCGTAACAATTGAAATTATATTTTGTGTTAAGAGCTACATTCGCTTTTTCTTTAGGTCCTTGTCTGAAATATTGCTAAGAAAAACATTTGACTAAATCGGACCCCTTCGATCTTAAAAACATTGCATTCTATGTGTTCACAACTATTTTAATATCCTTAAATATCTTTGTATAAAGCTCTGGAACATATGTGTCAAGCAAATCCCTTGAATAGTAAGCCAACAACATGGTGATGGTAGGGGCAGGTGATAGGCTAAAGTTGGAGAAGTCACTAGAACATCCATCTCTTCTATGTTGGTTAGTCTTGCCTCTCGGGAAAAGACATGACACCCTCGTCATGTGATCGGAAGTGTGATGATATAGAATAACATGTATAATGATAAAAAAAAATAATTCTGCAACATTAAAAGCATGCTCTTCCGTGTTCTTGTATATGAAATTTTGACCACTCATCTCTGTGATAGTGGTAGCATGTTTACAAAAAGTTGCATGATATAAAGTACTACCTAAGAACTTGGAAGGAATCCCTAGCTAAAGGTTCACACGTGTGACTTGGCATCCAATAAAACCTTCTTTTGAAAAGCATAATCAGTATGTGTCGTTTGTTTCACTAAGGCTAACATAACAACCATGAGTATCACTAGAAAAAAGTGCTTACATGGCCACAAGTATCGTAGAAAGACACACTAAACTAGCATAAGTGACATAAATTTTATGCTCACACCGACACATCATCACCATGCTTTGGAGTCTTATACTAATCCAATAAATTTTATTATAATAAATAATATTTGTGAACTGAGCATAGCTCAGATGTGTTAGGCTACTTGTGATGAAAGAAGCCCACCAAGATTCAAGATACTTATGGTTAGAATTTGGAAGGTGCTCAAGGGTATCCATTGTTGCCCTGCGCAGAGCAGATACATACACATAGTAGTACTATGTTCCATGCTAGGTTAAGAAAAGAGAGAGGGTTAGTGAAATCCATTCATCTGACGGCAACGGGATTGAGATATGGATTTGGGTTTGGATTGGACGGCGCCTCATCCTTTGGCTTTGGCTTTGGCTTTGGCAACGGAGGGATGATGCAGCAGGCCACACGATGATGATAAGCACACCCATTTGTTTGTATATTTTACGATAATAAATAATAATATAATAAAATACTCCTATGTTACTTTTTTTTTGTTTTGTCAAATTAATCCGAGCTACAACAATATTCTTTTTTGAGCTAGCACAGTATCCTTCCTACACAGATATACATAGAAGTATCTTCTCTTGTAGGCTAGGCTAGGTTAAGAAAAGAATCAGACGGCGGTGGGATTGAGATGTTGGATGTTGGATCGGATCAGAAGGCGGAAGGCGGAGGGCGTCTAATCCCTCGTCCTACCAACACCGTAACAGCGGAGGGAGGGGATCCGGTCCAACCCTTGTCCTCTCCCCTCCTCCCCTACCCCGGATATTCACAATTTTATT